ACTGATTTCAATCTGCAGTTCACTGCAGAAAACATAATTGTTAATCTGTGAGAACCTATAAAACCCATTTTAACTGACAGGTTTCAGTGTATCAGCTCTTTCAGGCTTTTTTATTCTTAATTACACAAAAGTCCCACAAAACCCAAGAACTAGTTTAAGAAATATAAAGTGACCAGAAGCTCAGTAGTGCTAAGCACAACAGGTAATCCTCCATGACAGAAAATAAAATGTACTTCTAAATCTACAAAACTTAGCTATGTTTTAGGACAGCTTGAGAAAACAATTTGCACTGGAATTTGTCACAGGGCAGCTTTGCTGAAGTACGTCACTACTATTATTTTTGTTACTGTAAGTAATTAATACTGTCTTTTTTTTCCATTTATCATCGCCCATTTTGCAAAGCACAGTCCTATCCACACCTGGATAATTTTTGGTGCTTTTTGAGCATTATTCAAGATGAAGCATCAGTAAGTACAGAAAACCTTCCACTTCTCTCTGAAGAAACCTTCATGTTCTCCAGTACCACCTGGTGAACATCAAATTACTTCAGCCAAGTCCCAGCGGAGCTGTACGAAACCTAACATCAGTTGGGAACTTCATGGACTATGAACACATTCCTGAAGAGAAAGAACAGGCACATACTCCCTTAGGGATTTTCATTAGAACAGTCTAGTCATAAGAGCTAAAGAGCTTTTTCTTAGCTGATCTTCCTTGGCCTAAAAAGAGAATCTTAAAGGGTAAGGGACAGAGATACTGATTTTTCAAATCTTTGCACGTAACTGATATGCAGGAGCTCTGATGTACACGGGTGTCCAGGCTTGCTGCTTCCGAAACACCTTCTCCTTGTCATTCTCTGTTATTATTCACTGATTTATGAGCCTTCCTCCAATTCTCTTTAAAAATTTGGCACTTTACCTTTAAATAGTTATATTGAAAAAAAACCACAACAGAGCATTTAATCAGAAAAACAAAGATACGAAGTTTCTCTTGGACCAAGCACGGATCAGAGCCTAAGACTCTGTAACACCTAAAAGATCTTGAAAGACTTCCGTTCAAAAAGGAGTGAGAAAGGAAAATGATTTATGAAGAACAGAACAAGCGTTTAAGCCTGAGATTCTGCCTAAGATACAACTTTAAGGAAATAATCTCATGATTGTCATCTCCTCTCTTAACCTTAGTTTTTGAGAAGGGAAAGATATGGATCTCAAGGGTGTCTAATCCACGCCACACAGCAAGCGTTTGCCTATCCTGGCCAGATACGAACAACCACAGATAGCTGTGAACTGAGGTATCTAATACAGTCAGCAGATCATAGCTGCTTCTCAATGTCCAAGCTTTGAAAAAAATCAACCACCAACTACAAACAAACAAACAAACTGAAATGACCAACTAATCGTCACTTTACAAGCAGCCAGCAAACAGGTCAGGATTTACAAGGCCAGACAACGATTACCCAACTGCAACCCTGCTCCTGACAAACCTGGCAGAAGAGTTCCCTTAAGCATGGTATGAAGGCTGTCTCACAGCCTGGATATGAGAGCAGCTAATCTGAACCACATATTCCTTTTGCAGGTTTTTCCGAGTACATCTGAAGGCCTTTTGACCCGACCTTCACCAAGGGGTAAACAGAGGCTCTGTCTGAAGGGTTTCCCTGGACTCGTGTTCAGTGCCAAAGCTTTGCTCAGCCTTTGCCTTCTTGAAGAAACAAGACCTGACACCCAACTCCTCATTCATTCACCTGGACAAAACAGACACGCAGGCAAGACAGGAACTGTGTGGCACACTTGGGTCACACCCTGATCATCCAGGACACCCTGCAGTGCCTCAACGGATTGAGCAGACAATGCTTGCATGTCCTGTAACTCCTACAAAACTCTGCATCTAGAAAAGCACTGAATCGAGAACAATCCCTGGAGAATTTCGCTAGTTTCTCCTAACCACAACTACTTGGGAAATCAAACAGTTTTCAATGCTCTGCAAAAGTACTGATTAGTATTTTCTGCTTGACTGTATAGTGTTGAGGACGAGTAAAGCTTTATAAGAGATCTTCATTGCACCTGCCTAACAAAATGCAAGCAAACCATACAAGTGCTTTTCAATATTAAAAATCCCTCCAACAGAAAGAACAGTTTCACTAAAAAAGAGTACGAACTGGCAAACTACAAATTTGTCTGGTAATAACTAGCATTTATTCATCCTTCAGCAAGATCTTTATCATCTACTTGTTTTTTAATTAAACAGACCAATGAGAAAGGTAAGAAACAACGGAAGTTTCTTGTCTGTTTGTTTTCTGAGCAGCGTTCCCATTTCTAACAGACACTTGTATCTGTATCTCTTGCTAGAATCACAGTATATTACTATATAATTTCTCATGCTTTAAGTAACCACTGAAGATTGCCTTAGTTGTGGAAGGAAGGGAGGAGTATAACTGCATAAGCACGAGGCTCACTTGCTTTAAAAAAAAAACCTGCTTTGTTTCCTCCTTAGTCTATTTTATCATAACAACATTTGCTTTTGGCAGAACAGCGGAACCTTACAAATACTGTGTCTCCCAAGAAGAGGGGAAGGCACACACTGAAACAATTTTTTTTAAAGGCTGATTAAAGGCTGAGTGTACACGTTTAAATTCAAAACAAATTATTAAAGCTAAATGTTCTCCGAAATTCCTTAATATGTACAAAAGAGGGAATGAAGAGCCATAAATCCAAAAAAACCAAACCCCATGTAGATAAGTCAATCTTAGTGTAGGTATTTCTCATCTTTGCTGCTACCATTACACTGTATTTGCTAGGAATAATCATGTTTCGAACAAGAAATAGAAAGAAACCACATGAAAGAGCTAATACAGGTAAATTGAGTATTTGTTTGACTCATTCAACTTTATATAGGCCCTTTAAATACTAAATTATTTTATGTAGACATTTCTTAAAAAGAAAAGATGGCCACTTAAATACTTTCCTCGAAAACCAAAGGAAGAAAAATAACATCATTCACAATGGCAAGTAAGATGACCTTCAGCTTTTGTATTTCTGCTTTGATTCATTTGTGTCCTATTAGTTGCTATTTGTCAACATTAGGTATTATGGGGCTTTTTAATTACTAATGGCTCTCTAGTACCTCAATAGTAGAAAATATTTACACAAAGCAAGCATGGAACAGAATGCTTCAAGAACTTTTCCACAACCCTAGAGCATTTCCCAACATATTTTCATCAACAGTCACTACACAGAATCTCATCAATTGATTTCAGGGTTTTAGCATGCATCACCACATCTTAAGCAATAAAATCATGGAATAAGAACAAAATAATGCTGCTGCAGTGGCCTGCTTATAAGTCTATTGTATTAAATAATGTTTTCCAAACCTTGGCTCAATCTATGGGATAGTTAATGACATCTTCAGGACACCCTGCTAACAGAAAGCACTTTTCACGTTATCCAAGGAGCTACCTCTAGCATAACTGGTTTGCAAAACCAGCCAGATCAACAATACCCATTACAAACAGCACAGCTGCAGGGTGCATGCTTTGCTCCAAAATGCAACAGCAGAAAGGCAGCTAATCCACATACCTAGACAGGGAGACCTTACAGCAGTCTTCCAGTACCTAACGGGGGCCTACAGGAAAGCTGGAGAGGGACTTTTCTCAAGGGCATGTAGTGACAGGACAAGGGGTAACAGCTTTAAACAGAATGAGGGTGGATTTGGATTAGATGTAAGGAAGAAGTTCTTCACTGGGAGGGTGGTGAGGCACTGGAACAGGTTGCCCAGAGAAGCTGTGGATGCCTCATCCCTGGCTGTGTTCAAGGCCGGGATGGATGGGGCTTTGAGCAACCTGGTCTGGTGGGAGGTGTCCCTGCCCATGGCAGGAGGTTGGAACTGGATGATCTGTAAGGTCCCTTCCAGCCCAAACCACTCTGAGTCTATGATGTGTTTTCTTTGTATTAGGCTTCCTAACACTGTCAGTGGATATATGAGAATACTAGATATTGACCCACGTTTGGTGCAAAATTATGTGCCTATTCATAAGTAGAATCCAGCTTGATTTTTTTTTTTTGAGCCAACTAAATGTTCACTGCTAGTATTAACTGAACTACACCACTGCTGTTAAAAGGAGATTTGAAACTAACAGCTCTAAGTGGCTTCAGTTCTTAAAACAGTTTTACTGGTACCTGAATATTTTGAAAATCAACTCCAGGGAAGGCAAACAAGTTGAATCTCCATTAAGAGAGATCTTATTTTCAATTCAGAAGATTCCTACACCTCTAAGAATTTCCATACATAATGGACTTGAAGCAGAAACAAGCTATATATTCAGAAAGTGTTTTATATTTAAATTCACACAGCAATGTGTGAACGCAAGAATAATCATACCTGGACATATCAGGACAGGTCTGGCTAGCCCTGTACTCGTGTTCTTCTCAGTATCTAGTGGCAGATGCCTCAGGAAGAACATCAAAACAAGGTAAAGATACAGCCATACTTCAGACTACCTTGCAGACACTGAACAACACAGGAGCCAGAGAGAGTACTTTTGCTTTTGGTAGACCATTTTATCCCTGTGGGATTTTCTTCTAAGAATTACCTAGTTCTTTTTTAAGCCCGTTTAAACGTTTGTACATTCACCATATTCTCTGGCAAAAAAAAAAAAAATATCCTAAATCTAGAGTATAGTATAAAACCAAACCTCCTTGTTTATTTTGAAGGTGCCATTACTAATCTCGCTTGTTGCTGACTTGGAAAAGACAGAAATTTTTATCCCCGTTTTCCCTGCCATAAGTGACTTTACAGATCTGTCAAACCACTCCTAATTACCTGTTTTCCAGTCTGAAGAGTTCCAGTCTGGTTTACTGACAATTTCTGCCAATTTACTGATAATCTCATACCTTCCTCCATGGTTGAAATACAAGATAACAAGATAGAAAACTATCAATGCGTCATTAAGTCCAATAATATACAGAAAATGGGTGGAACTGGCTATTAAAAAAAGAAAACCTCCTTACCACTGGGTGGCTTGGGTCGTGGAGGGACATTTTTCTTCGGTGGTAAGGCTGGCGTGTCTGATTTGCTTTTGAAAGGGTCATCTGAGAATCCTACCCCTCCAAAAGAGGAGGCGAAGGGGTCTGAAGCTACTGACTATGTGAGGAAAAAAAAAAAAAGAAAAAGAAGATAAGCACATTGTAGAATATCTGTCGTCTCGTGAAAGCTACAAGTTAACTCAAGTAAAAGCATTAACTTCAAAAAATGAGGACAGATTTACAGAATTGTCAGTGGTGTAAGAGGCTAGGTGCTAGGATTCCATTAACATTCAAAAGTACTTCTGCTCTTATTCACTTCAGTGCTTCTTGAACTTTTAGTCCGAGCAAAAAGCTGATGAGAAAAATAAGAGGAAGTAAAACTCGACTTTTTACTATTTGGCAGTGAACAGCCATACTCCAGTCTGGACTTCACTCTGATAAACAGAACCGCGACAGAAACTGGAAAAACACGGTAGACTGCAGAACGGATAGCTTTTTCCCAAGCCTTTCTTTAGTTGCACACAGCTATTCATCTTTTTTGTAAAAGCTCAGGGAAAATTCCAAAACCATATGTTAAGCATTTTCTATATTCAGCTGGCTCTCGTGAAGGACTCTCCTATTGATTAAAAAATGCACAAAAACTTATGTCGTGCAGGGAAATTTATCACGCTGAAATGAAGAAAGAGGAATTTTGTGGGCAAAGCTAAAGCTCGCAGTCCGACCTTCACCAAAACTTCTAATTCAAGCCACACACATCAATATTTGTAAAGACTGTTGCCACCTAGCGGAGAACTAAAACCCCCACAAAAAATAGCAAGAAAAGTCAGGAAAAAACCACAAGTTTAATTAGTCAAAGTGATATGATAATCTATTTTCTAGTTAGTTAACAATTACTCTACAATGGTCAAGCGTTATTGTGGAATTAAGTGCTGCAAAAATTTGGGCAACTGATGTCAACCGTGAATTCCAAACTTCACCTCAGAAAGCTAAGAGCAGACTGACTGATCCAGACCAGGAGGGAAGGACCTTGTTGTATTTGAAACAGCCTATATACTCAGTTTATACCAGGAAACCAAGGGAACAGCAATTCTGTTAAAAGCTATGAAATGTCAGTGCACCATGTTTTCCACCTTTCTCTGGCTCCCTGTACTCATGGAGAAGGTTAGGAACAAGCCAGGATACTACGAGAGATGAAGTATCCAAGAAGCAGACTTTGGGACTTAGGGGAAGGTCGGACACTGAAATATATTCGTATCTGGAATAACAACCTTTTCTTACAAGTAAATACTAAAAGTTATTGCTTTTGCTCCCCTGGCATTTGAAAACATTTGTGAAAAGCTGATTTATCCCTGCTGAATCTACCAGTCCTGGTAAGACTTTGCCATATCTGAGTCGGATAGAAAATGCTTTGCTAAGTAACTACTGAGGTTGATCAGAAAAAAAATTAACTAAAGTGGGTTGTCAGCTAAAGAGTTACAACCATAACACTCCCTTAAAAAAGAGAACTATCTGTACATACATTTTTAAAAGGACAGTTGCTTTCCTTGTAACCTTTACCTTTGACATCTGACTGAAGTCTGCAAATCCCTCACCACTACTGAAAGCACCACTTCCAAATGGATCCAGTGTTCCAAACGGATCTGAAAGATACACGAAGAAAAGAAAGTTATTTAAAGTAATACTTAAGAATTATGAAGTATGTTTGGTGTCAATGAAGTACAAAACTAGGCAGGTGATCGAAAACCATCTTCATTTTGACCTGGCATGAGACATTAAAAAGGAACTCCCTAAAGCAATAGGTTTTCTACCAGTTGTTTGGAGGAAAAAAACCCACAAAAACCAAAAACAAAACAAAAGACAAGAAAAAGGTTAAGTATATAGCGTACGCGAAGACTTAATCTTGATAATCCATAACAGGACCACAATGATATTTGCCAACAGTTCACAAGATACTGCCTTTATTCTCAACTTTTACATTTGATTCTTGTTTCATAAAGAGGTGTCTCCTTATTCATCTTCATGAGGAAATTTTTTCTGCTTACCTGGACCTTTTGAAGAGATGCTGGAAGACGTAAAAGGATCACTGCTTTCAAAAGGGTCAGGCTAAATAAGAACAGATACACATAATTATTCTTCTGCTGTACTGTGCACTTGTCTTCTTACGCATACCAAAATCTCTTGCTTTAAGACAAATTATTTCCAATTTCAGACCACTCTGTTCACTGGACATATAGTAGGATAAAACTGACTGACTAGATGAAATCTGCATTATTTGGCTATCGATAGCCTTGAACAAAGCACCAAGTACCTACAAGTGAAACATGTTCAAGTGAGAAGTGTACCAGGTTGAAACACAAATATTAGTTACCTGAAAATATTAGTTACCAGGGCAAAGTAAGAAATTACAGCCAGAAGCGCTCAGTCTTTCAGCAGCAGAGGCTGAATATTCAGGTCAGATCTTTACATTATTAATCCAGAGAGTCTGTATATCGCTTCATTTTAAATAGATGGTGTTTACAGTCGCTCTTCAGTTTGAGAAGTTTGCTTTTACCCAAGTACAAACCTATATTGCAAGACAAACTAACCTCCCACTGACGGATCCTGGAGTAGCATTGTAACACTTGGGTGGCAACAGTCAATGAACGCCAGAAGGGTGTGGGAAAGGATGAATTAAAAAAACAAACCAAAAAAATCCATATCTTCCCCCCAAAACAGCCACAGACACGTAAGGACAGCTTAAGAACCGTGGCGATACGTTTGACAAACGCGTTCTGTGCAGTCCTTCCGCTGTGCTGGCTCTGCTGCCTGCTGGCGGCTCAGCAATCCTTCAGCCAGATCAGCTCCTCAATCCCATTCACTACGTGACTGCACAAACACAAACGTCGATGGAATGGAGGTAATGGCATGAATGAGTGGTGCTGGTGGCTTGAAATTCCCAACAGAGGAAAAAAACCAGTCACCTAACTGCATCTTCATGGTGAATATACATCATTATCATGGAACTGGAAAGAACAAACTGCAAACTGCCTTAACAATCCATACTTGAATTTTAAGAATAAAATATTTTATCAGTTAGGAGAAAAGTACTTAGTGATATTTGGTTCCTTTTACCTTTCAGACAACAAACCTGTCAATAGTAAAGAAACCTATTGTGCGTACACTTAAAAATTACTGACCTTTGCGGGTAAAGCGGGTGGTTTTGTGAACGGATCTGAGGTAAATGGGTCACTCTTCACCTGTTTCTTGAAGAAATCCTCAGGGGCAGAACTACGAAATGGGTCACTTTCTTTAAATGGATCACCTCCAAATGGATCTAGAAGGAGAATTCAAAGGTAAATAAATAGAATGTAGCTCCTAGCGAGTCCATAACGAACTTTTTTTCTATATTTGACCTCATACCCGCTGATGTAATTTTTCTTATAAAAACACAGAATGATTTGGTAAATCTGATAAACTTCCAGATACCTTTCTAAGCAGGGTATTTACTAAGTTTGAACAAGTACATGTTTATATTGTTATGAACTTTAAGTGATTTGTTAAGTTTATTAATAGTTACATGCATGTTATTAACTTACTGATCCTGAATGCACACCCTATTGGTTTTCTATGTTCCCACATGCAAACAAAAAGTCTGAAGCCAGGGAAACCTTGGAAATCTCTATGTCTGGCTACAAATTGTTCATATCACATCTGTCCTGTCATCAAAAGGGCTATTACCTGCTGGAGCAGGTGGCTGCTCTGCAAAAGGATCATGCTGGAATGGGTCACCTATGCAGAATAGAAAAATCATTCGGTTTATCCGCTATTTAGCAAAATGATAAAAGTTTGTGAAAATACCATTTACTCAGCAATTGGTCTTCAAGGTCTCGGGTAAGCCATGGGTCACTTACTGCCTTTGAAAGGGTCTGCTCCCTTAAATGGATCAGATTTGAAAGGATCTTCTGACTGGAATGGGTCTGTATGCAATTCTTGTGTATTATTGGTAAACATCAAGGCTTTATTCTTAAATGGATCATCCTAAAAGTGAAGAGGAGAAACATTATAGCAGCTTACCACGATTAAAATGCTCAGTTACCCACTTTGCTGAAATTCCATGCTATCTTGGTTCCTGTTTAATAATCTTAAAAATTACTTCCTAAAGAACTTTCTAAGTGGCTTCTAAGCAGAAGTATTTACACAAGAGAAAGAAACATGTAGCCCGAGGCTACACAGAACATCAAAAGATAACAATACATATAAGACTAAAGGTTAAACTGTTTCTCATATTAATATATTCAATTCTCAAATAATTAAGTAACAAAACCAAACCAAACCCCCAACCATCACGCTACCAAAAAATTCTTTGCTCCCAGTTATTTTACAGCTCAGCTGCAGGTAAGACAGTTACTTAAAGGAAAGGACACACAACTCAATTGTGGACCACAAACACAAGAAATTACTACTGAGTAGTCATACTCAGCACTGCTGCTTGTTAACTCATTCTTGAGCTTAAAGCTCCAGGTACTGATTTCACATTGCAAACACTACAAGGCAGGGGAATCTTCACCCCAACAGCCGGACAACAGAGAGGTTTGTCAGCAGAGGCCAACCTATAGCTTTGACAAGTTACAAAAAAATCCTGCCCAAACAAGTAGCAAACTAAAGTTATGAAACCTCTTCATCGCATTTGACTGCATACGATGCCCCTGCCTTTTGTCTGGTTTGGGTCTCCCCCATCAAACCAGTCCTGGCCACAGCAGCCATACGTGCAGACAGCACCCGTACGACCCAGCTCCACGACAAAGCCATTCAACTCTAAGTAAGAAGTATCTACTAACAACTACCCACTTACACTGCCTCCAGCACTAGAAAGATACAGATTTCTTTGATCCCTTTACAAGATGCAGATGAAGAAGTCTTAATTAATATTTCTCAGAATAGCAGAGAGGGAGGTGGGGAGAGGAGGAAGAGGAAGGAAGAATTAAGAAACAGGAAAGGGGCACAATGGTTTAAAAAATTTACTATGAACATATACTGGAAGTGATTCTTAGGTTTTGCAAGTAAGAGAAACATCTGGAAGTTTCCACTGGAAATTAAACATAGTATTTATGCAAGCCATGCAAGCACAGAAGCTGAGCACTATGGAGTTTTAAGACCATGTATCTCAATGTATTATTTTTAATCTACACTTTTCTTGTTTTGAGCATTTTTACAGAGAACGTGTAAAGCAGGGCATAAAGGCAGCATGCCTGCTGAATATTTATTTTACACACTATACACGATATATATTCAACTTCGTACTAAACCCACAGTAAATACTGTGCTTACAAGGATTCTGGAAAATGTGTTTCCCCAATGAGGATGCACAAATTAGATGTGCAAGTAGAATCAAGCAAGTATGCAACTTCTATATTTAAAGTGAAGAAATAGGCTTAAAAATGAAAAATCTTGTGATTTAGAGTACTATTAAATATCCAAATCAACATTAGATACCCAAAAGAAATTGACTGGAAAACTCTTTAAGAGCCTGAAGGATTTTATGAATTGGGAAAAATACTGATTAAAAGAAAACATAATAGATAAATGATGCTGGAATTGTTTAAGCAGAAGAGAACTATCTATGTATTTTGGGAAGGGAACATGTTTTTTACCAAAATAAGTAATAAACAGCTCACTGCAAAGGAAAAATTCGTGTAGCTTCTTTTGGAAATAAGAAAGAAATACATGATTAAAGGCAAGTTTACAGCAAGAGAAGGTACCACCTTGGTAAACTGCGAGAGAAAAACCGAAATCCTCACACAAGATCTAACCCAAAGCCTAAAAATCAGGTTTTCCATCAGCATTAAAATCTTTGCCCGGCCTTGCACCGGAGAATGTTGCCTTGCAAGGATCACAATATTGGCTAAAATACTAAAAGCCAACTGAACAACCTTCTTCACTATTTCACATTAGGTGCAAGTCACAAACCTAGTTATTGTAAAATACACTGAGCAACAGTATTTTTTTTTACCATAGCTCCATAATTGCTTCTTTCTGTCTGCCCAAGGCCTTCACTTATGTCTGCTAAATTCGTCAGACTACCACCATGAATCCCATTGAGAGCTTCATTATATTCTTCTATGCTCTTATTGACTTCTTGATGACTCTCTTGAAGTTGGGAAAGTTTACTTCTCGCCTAAGGAGTGAAAAATGCCTTAGTATGTTACACGTTCAATAACACTGTTATTCTCGTTAAACACGGTTGTCAGACAGTTGCATTTCGCCCCCACCAGAGCTGAACTTCTCTGGACTCCAATTGGGAATTAACTTCCTAAGCACCAGTCAAAAAAGGCTGAGCTCATGAACCGGTATTTTTTTTGTCTTTTCTGAAAAATAATCTGATATGATTGTTCAACTCAGTCTTTCAAGAAGCAAAAAAAGAAGTTGTATAAATTACAGTGAATACCTGGTTTATTTCTTCTTGTGTTGATTTTAAAGATTTGATTATTGTTTCAAGCTGTACTTTTCCAGCCTGGATACTCTGCTCTAGCTGAGTCTCTTCTTGCTGGAGGCGATTCAGCTCTGCTTTTGCTCTATTAAGGTCATCTTCCTGTAATTTTAAATCTGATTCCTGAGATTGAATCTGCATTTTTAGTGATGAAATCTGAGACAAAACGTTACACAAATCAGAAAGAAATTTGTAATAAATGTAACTTAATAAGTTACAAATTCATAATAAATAATAGAGAGTTGTAAAGCAACTGTCAACTGCTAAGGAAGATAACAAGGACTTAATACAAAGAGCTGCATGCTTCTTACTATGTTACACAAAATCCTTGATAAAAGCACATAGGACGTTCAATAAAACCAAGAGATGATAATATTTTAAACAACAAAGATACCACACTAATTATAAAGGTAATTAAAAGGTGTTTCTTAGATGGGTACCTTGTAGTTTTCAGAACCTGGTTCCTTTTCCATTCAAACATTTATCAGGTATCATAAAGTTGATTTTTAACTCTGATAAGAGTTAAAATGACACAGTTGCATACAACTCCCCTTATACCCTTTCTTACATGACCTTATACGCCAAGTTTCTACGTTAAGACAACGTGCTAGCTACATCAGCAACCGTTTCCCCCAAAAACCCACTTTTAACTCAGAATACTGATGAGGTTCACAGTGATCAATATATCCACCACTGCCTGTAGGCTGTCTCATGGGTCAGGAATAATGCTTCTCAACTGCCCTATTAGCTTGAATAAATGTTTCATATATCCACAGATCAATAACAGTTTATGTAGAAAGGGACCCCTGGAGATCACCTGGTTCAACCCCCCATTTATGACCATTATGAAAGGTACTTAGGTTGCAAAATCCTTTCTTGGACCCCTGTATTTGTGTGGAAGTTGCTACTTATGGTAAAAGTGAATAAACAAAGCAAGCTTACTCATTACATAAATAGAATTTCCTTCAACAAAAGACAATACACTTGAGCATGTCCAGAATTAACGTACACTCACCACCTGTGTTTCTTCCTGGCATTTCTGCCTTACATCGTTCAGCATATCTTTCAGTTTGGCTTTCTGCTGGTCCATTTCATCCAGGCGGTCTTGGGCGTCTTGTTTCTGAGCCTCTAGCTCTTGCAAGTTACTCGTCTCCCTATCTAAATCATTCTGCAGTTCCTGAGGAAAATTCCACAGTTTGAGACTTACATTTAGCTGTTGTCTTTCAGGAACGATCAACCACAGACAAACAGGCTAGCAAAATCCAAAAGATTTTCTGTCCTATAGGCTATTCCCTGCATGCGTATGTTTTGTTCCTGCAAGAATTTGTACCAGACATCAGGAAACAAATGAGTGCCCACAAGATGGAAAGAGACTGACGCAGAGCACATGTAATTGAGCTACCCTAATTATCGAAACAAATACTCTTTGAACGATGATTCCCTAAATTACAGTGTTAGTCAAGCACTAACAAAAAAGATATTTCAAACTGTTCACATATCTTCTACTTATATTAACCATCATCAGAAGAAAACATTTCTGACGGAGAATAGGAAAATAAAGACATTTCTGTAAGTTAGAGGAAAATCCCATGACAGGAGGAAAGACTTGCCCACATAAGGAAGACAGAAGAAAGAATGCCCTGTGTATAATTTCAGATTAAAATGAAAACTAACTGATAAAGAGTTTTTACCTGAACTTCGTTGGTTTTCTGTCTGATTGATTCTTCCTTTTCCCTAATGTCCTGCTCTAGCGAGTACTTTTCTCTGTAAGACAAACAAGCACATTCATTCATGATTAGTT